TGGGGAATTCTGGGAGGTGAAGTCCACCCATCTTAAAGTTGCCAAGGTTGAGAAACACTGATTTGTAGCAATGCCTCCCACCCCACCTGGTAACATTTAGAAATGCAGTACGTATGCAATGAAGTGACTACACCAGAGATCTCTTGCGTCTGCAAGCAGTGGTCTATGAGAATGGCAATGGCATCAGGGCACCCATTTCTCTAAAAGAAGGTGAAGACGTGGGCCCATACTTTTCCAAAGGCTCCTGATGACAACATGTAGTGGCAGCCTGCAGTAAATCACCGCAAGCCCAGCCACTTAACAGCTATAGAACACTCCACCAGTTGATTTTATCCTTTCTTTCCATTTCTTTTTAAAGGAAAAAGCCCTTAGAGTCTCATTCTGCATTAAGTGAGCCAAAATGTTTCAGAAGAAAAATGTTTGCACAATCTTCTCCTACCTCCTCCTCCTCCTGCTGGAAAACAGACTATTAGGAGCCCCTTTTTGCTCATTCCTGTATACATGCTCAGTTCTGCAGGAAGATCTGAGTGTGCAAGCCCATGTACGAATTGCAGGTGTCAACTCTTCTCTATCTGTTTATCTCACACGGCTGCCTTGTAATCGCTTTCACGCCCAGCAGCACAGCTCGGCTAATGGACACGTTGCACAACTTGCCTGCGTTTTGAATGAGCAGGTTGATGAAAGGGAATTTGCTTGTGAGATTTCTCATGGGTGGAGTATGAGGTTCTTGTTCTTGCTTTGCTGCAAGATGTCCAAGGGTGTGCACGACTGTCCCATCTTTCAGTGAACAATCATATCTCCAGTTAAATCCCAAGGAAATACTTTGTAACAGAACTCTTCCCGTGAAGCTGGCTCAGATCAGGAATGGGGACACTGAGAGTGGCTTCAAAGTCACAGAAAAATGAGTCATAATTAAAACAACAACCCACTAGCAGCAAGGGGGCTTCCACCACCTTCAACAAGAAAGTCAGCTCAAAAACACCAGAGAAAATCTGAAACACCAGATGAATGCAGAAAATCACTGTTTCTACTTCACGATATGGTAAATCGAGAGCTTTCAGCATGGAGCTAAGAAAAATTCCCTTTCACCACTTCCTCTTATGAAGGAGGAAAAAGAAATTTTTCTATAAAGTATTTTCCCTGGCAAGACAAAACAAATTAGATTTGTGGGGAAAGAACCATTAATCATTGCCAGAATAAGCACTTCCCTCATTTTGCCAAATTTTATACCCACGCGTGAATATCAGTGTGCTTCTGTCCTCTTCACGCCCCAAAGATCATGCACCCGAGCCAGTGAATTAACACTTCCTTTGCAAGACTGCGCTTGACAGGACAAGCATAACCATTATGGCTTGACACTGACTTTTCACCACATGCTCAGTGAGCCCACAGCCCACATGGCTGAAGCATTTCTTCCTAACAGTCTCGTAACACTCCAAGTCAAAATGCAACTGGCTTGATTTTGGTTTAGTGTGGCTTCTGAAACCAGCCACGATGGTTTTAACCCATGCTTTGGGTGGCATGAACTCAGCCAACTGTGGTTTGATAAACTACAGTTAAACTGTGGCATAATGTATTACATGAATGAAGCCAAAAATGTTCCCTCCCATAAGAGAAGAAGCTGGCTTAGAATGGAGGCCGTAGGAAGAGATAGGTTTCTAATTCTACACTAGGGCTTCCTACCTTCCTTTGATACCTCAAACATTCAAGCTATCTTCAACTCCTGTGCCCACCTGCTTCTCTTATAACCCTGGTCACATAAACCCAGCTGAGAAGTTGTGTTGCTTGAAGTTAGCATGACAAATGATCAAGGGAACCAGTGAACTGCTAAGAACATTGCAGGGGAATTTTTGGTTGCAAGAATTTGAGCTGGGTATCAGTGACTTGAGAAAAGTATCCATTGTTTCTCTGTTGCATCTGCCTAAAATGAATTTCATTATGCTTATTTTCCCCAGAGCACCTGCACCAATTCAATGTCATCTAGATGCATAGGAATACAAATCCAATCAGCTCTTACCAGCATGGCAGTGGATGATGATAAGTGGAACTGGAGAGCACTAAGACTTCTGAAGACAATGTATTTCATCTCTCTAATACTTTGCTGGCTAGAATGAGCCAGAGGGAAATTATCTTGACATTCTTCTACTTTTCCAAATAACATGCTTTTGTTAAGCATGGCAACAGCCTCAACAATTCGCCTTATAAATAAAAATAGCATTCCTCTTGCAGCTGGACAGTGGGCACCGGTTAGGGTTGCATATTCCACATAGCTGAATGTCTACTGGAAGGGTATGAATTCCGTTTGGAACATTTGGAAAACTTAAAATCATAGTTAGAGGAAATTTATGCTACAGTTTTAACACATTTTTGGCATTCTTCACTGTCTATTGGATAACACTTCTTGCTCTTTATCTCAGGATGCTTTGAATTATTTCAAAGGCGGCTCTAATTCTATTAATCAAAAGTAGATTAAATTAACTATTGGGGCTTCTTAAGTTCTTAGGAAGCAGTTGGTGCTACAGAAACACAGTTACTCATTTCTGAGAGTAAGTGAAATTGTCCTGAACTACAAACATGTACTGGCCAAAAAGGTAACAAAACATAAGTTAAAGACAAATCATTGTTCTGTATTATAATCCAAACTATCAGAGATTCACAAGCAAAGGTCTTTCCTAATTATTCTAATTATTCTATAAATGGTTCTTTTCATTAGAAATGCCACAGACTGAACTTTGGATTTAAATAGCAGGGGGTCTACACATGAAGTGTCATCTGCCTCTACTGTTGGGCTGATGATTTCAGACAATACTAAACATTGCTATTTCAGCACTACCTTCCTTTTCTAAGTTGTCCATATGAAACTGTTGTAGCATCCTTTCCCAGGCATTGCTAGGCTTCTCAGGAGTCACTAGCAGGGAAATTTTTCCTACTCAGAGCCTCTGATGAAATAGCTAAATCCAAAGATATGGAACATATTTCACAGTTGATCAAGAGCATGTCCTAGTCTTCAAAATGGACCAAGAACAGGTTCAAAGGAATGATGCCGCTGGACCATTGTGCCAGAAGGAAGTCCCAGCCTCTGACTAATCATACTTGAGACAAACTACATGGATAAAATCTTAAAAAACAAGAAGTATTGAGTGGTGAGCGATGATGACCTTGGCTGATCTTGGAAAATAAAGCAAAGTCACGCCTGGTTAGTGGGAAATCCCAGTGCCGTAGGCCAGGCTGGGAAGTTGAAAAACATATTGCAAAATGGCAAAATACTTTCATATTGTTGTTGAAAAAACTATAGACATCCCTATGAAGTTGAGCTTGACTTGAAGGAAACTTTACCTTGATCTAAGAGCAACCCTCAATTCTATCGTGATTAATCATATTTATTTTTCCTTTAATATTGTAGTTCTAAATATACAACAAGAGGAATCATCACCCTTCCTTCCCTCCTTCCTATTTCTCCATCTCTGTTAATGCTGGAGCACTCTGAATGTCTGCAAAGAGCAGTGCCGGCCCGAGAGACCTGGTTAAGAAACAGAAACAGCCTAGCACATCGATTCACACTGGTGAGTGCTGCTATTGAAACACCAGACTCATACGCTTATTTGCAAGTTCTCCTCCCAGCTGAGCAGCCTATGATTCTTTGTTTGCTTATTCAGGGAACTGAGTAAGGGAGAGCTGCATTCAATTGCTTTGCCAAATTGTCCCTAATTGCCAAATTAGTAAATTAGCATAATCAACATTGGTAAATTAGTGTAATCGAAATACTCATTAAAATCTTCTGCTATAGACCCCTTTAGAATACTGCAGAGAAAATTTACAGATTAGGAGTGTTTGTAATATACCATTAGGAATCCCTGATCAATTGGAATGGGTACAGCTCTGTTCAGATCCCAGTTTGAGGAGAAATTAGAACAGAGAGAGAAAACGCCACACCTACCATACCCTGAGCTTCTTAGAAAGTGGAAGAGGTAGACATGTGATAAGAGAGTCCATCATACATGTGAGGGTGCCTTGCTTTCAGGGGGAGATCTATCTATATCTTCAAGGGGGGAGGGTGTATGTATGTATATATGTATGTGCACACACACACACACACTGCACTGGGGAAATCCTACTTGATTCTCTGCTTCTCTTTTAAACTCTCGCACCAGGCCAGGAAGAGTACCTTGGTTTCACTTCTCCAGTTTTCTCTCCACCCCACCCCCACACAAATACAACCAGATAA